TGGTTGCAGCTCCCCAGAGGAACCCCTCCTGCCTGCTAGTCACAGATTCTGCCGCCATGTCAGGCCTTTGTGACAAGTTCAGAATCCAGCTATAGAACTGCAGAACCCCATGGAAACACTCCAATAAAGACTAAGGAGGTTAAATTGTATTTAATCAGCTAATTGAGTAGTCGATGGAATTTCCATCAACTACTTGATTAGTCAATAAGGGGGGAAACTGTAGAGCCACAGCAGGATTAGCTCCCAGCTCCAGGAGCTAGCCCCGCTGTGACTCTGCCTTTTAAATGTAGTAAGAGTCACCTAGCTTTTACTATTTTTAAAAGGCAGAGCAGCAGCAGGGGACCAGGTGTGAGCTGAGACTCAGCTGTCCTGGCTTGTGCCCAGTCCCAGATGCTGCACCTCTGCATCCCTTGCCCCCCTCCTCTTGCGTGGAGACTGTGCTGAGGGGAACCAGCTTCTAAGCAGCAGCAGGGGGGAGGAAAGAGGGAAGCCATTAATTGAGTAGTGACTTGACTAGTTGCTTACATCCCTAATGCTGACCACAGCAGTATCCCACTCTCGGAAGCTCAGCCCCCTACATCTTCCTCTTTATGGAGCCTCCTCCCACAACAGATGGGGCACCCAACTCCAGCTCCTTCCTCCACAAGAACCACAGCCTTGAAACACCCCTCCCATTTCTCTTCATGAACATCACCTCACAGCAATACTCCTCTCCAGGGAAGTCCACCTTCCTAGAATAGCTTTCATGGTCTTCCCTGTGATGTCTCCGATAGTCTTTCACAGGTTGCACTGTCCTGACATCTCTTTAAGTAGCCCAAATATTCCTTCTTTTGGGACTCACCTTTGCTGGTTCTCCTCCCACCAAAAAAGCCCCTCAAACAAAACACACCACAATGCAGGAAAATACAGCATGACACTGTAGTTTTTCTGCTGAGCCCTCTCAATCCTACCCTAAGTGTCAGCTGCAGCAAGGGATTGTCCTTGATAAGCATAACTCCAATGAAGCCATAGGCCATGTCTTCACTCAATCGATCTTCCAGAGTTCAATTTAGCAGGACTAGTTAAGATTCACTAAATCATACCCACAGGGCATCTTCCAGCTGGTACTCCTGCAAGAAGGAAAGCCAATGGAAGGTTTGCTTCCATTGGCCTCCTGCTCTCGGGATAGTGGGGAAACTCAACTGAAGGTACGTCAAATCCAGGTATGTAATTAACGTTAGCTGGAGTTGCGTACCTTGATTTGACCTTCCCCTTTAGCGTAGACTTAGCCACACTGCTAGGAACAAGGTGAACAAACAGGAGGAGACTGAAGAGGCAAAGGTCTTGTGCACAAACGACTTTGGTCTCCTGTGGATCCCAAACATTCAGGACTGACATCCATGGCCGGTTTGATGGCAAAATATGTTCCCTGAAGGAACACTGAGGAAGGGTTTTTTCCCCATAGGAGGCAGCAAATGAGGCTACTATGTCTTAAAACTAACTTCAGATTTCAAGCCAGATTTCAAGAGGAAGATACTTCAGCTGCACATATCAATATATACACCTAGATGATGTATAAATAATAAATGGATACTTACTTGGATGTAGGCACTTTCAAATTTTGCATATAATAGTGAGGAAACATATAACAAACTTGTGTCCATCCTTTTAAATAAGCAAAACTTCTGATACACTGAGAATGGCTCTAGGATATTTTTGTTTTATATAAGACTTAGCATTTTCAAAGTTTTTCTGTTTATGGACTATTTCAGCAGTCAATATTAATATATATGTATCAAAAGCAATTATTTTAGATAAGCAGCATTACACAAACTGCACCTCAACCTGTAGGAAAAATACAACCAAGACTTAAATTATTACATAATACAGGCTTTTTCTTTAAAAAAAAAGTTTACATTTCAACAAGAAACACTATACATTAGTTTACAATATATATAGATTTGTCTCTCTTTAAACTTTGTACAAACTGAAACATTCTTCAGACTATACAATCAAGCTTGTATCTTGACAGCAGATAAAGGAAAAGAAGGCATTGTAACCTTGCTGGTTTCTAGGCTTAAACAGGAACCATGGTCTCTTGTCTTTTTGGTGATTTTTCTGCATTTTACCCAATAGTTTTTGCATACACACAACCTTTCTGTTGAAGCAGACCAACCACTCTTCATGAGCAACTGACGTAAGGGGGAAAGACTGGTGAAAATTAGTTCATTTTAAACCATGTGGAAGTTCAAAATTAGTAGAGTTGTAAAACAAGTGTTTTGAACATGCCAAAGTTAACTTTAGAAATGTTTCTAATTCCTATTGTGAACTCAAAGCCAACTGTTTTGCATGTAAACTCACAATAAATGACTATGCAACATATTCAGAACAGCACTGGGGTCGATTCTTCATTCACTCACAGTAGTTTAACACTGATGTAACTACAATGTAATCAATTTAGTTTATACATGTTCATGAGAGGAGAATCAGGCGTTTTATCTGTAACCTTCAATTGGAAACTAGCAGATCAAAATACCAATTTGACTACAATGAGTGGGCCTATGTGGCTAGTTCATTTTAGTCTGTGGGAAACATAACACAAGTAATGTACGTATAACTCTGTAAGAGAAAAGACTATGCTCTCTCAGAAGAAAAATGTGACATTACCAGAGTTTATATTTAGAGGGAAAATAATTGGAATTTAAAGAATTTGAAGTTCATTTTGATACTATAATTAGAATATCAGCCACAAACATTTAAAACAAGATCAATTATTTTATAATGTTCTAGAAATAAAAACCAGGAGAAATAGGATGGCAAAAAAACAGGGATTAAAACTTTTATATTAATGTGTAATTTCTTTCACTACATAACTGGACCCTTTAAATTTATCTCTCGCTGTACTTTGACAAAAAACAAAAACCCAACCCCCTCTCCATCCTTCTGGTTCTATTCTTTTCAGGGTACTATGCAATTCAAACTAGACTGAGGAAAGTCACTCTTCAGTCCGCTATTCAAAATGACCTAAAAGAGTGTTTCCTTTAATAGCCTGTATTTACCAAGAGTGAAGTCCATATCCTTTGAATTTTCTCCTGGTTAGTGCAAAAATCAGACCACATATCATATTAGGAGGAATAGTAACTGGTGGAGGAATAGCAACTGAGAGAAGAATAGCCCTTCCTAAGCATTGTCACGGGGGAAATAAGAAGTATTAAATATGCTGGTATTCAAATCAATGAAAAGTTTTACCCTAGTTTTTTATATTAAGCACGAATATAGAATGTTGTAAACCTGTCACTGGTAATTTTTAATACTAATTTGCTGCTCTGAGTCAAGATTTCAAAGTCAATATCATAGAATTTTGAGAAGGGTAATCTGTTCTGGAATGTACAAATGAAACTGCAAAAGGAGCAGGAAAAGGAAATGGGATATTCAACAGTAGCTGAGTGGGAAGAAGAATCAGTTTCTAAAATACTGTTGAATATCTATTTCCTTTTCCTGCTCATTTTACAGTTTCAGTTGGTACACTATGGTCCTGAAGTGGACAAGATGTCACAAAGTTAACAGAAAAATAAAATGCACAGCAAAATATCATTGTATTTACCCCAGCAGAAATGTGTAAGGCATACCACAAAAGACATGAGTTTAAATGCAATCTATGAGTCTCCACACAACTGAAGATTTTGTAACTGCCAACATGCCGTCTCTTACTTAAAAAGAGCACACACTCCCTGTTGGAACATTCTAATTTGAACTAGAAACAGATTTTAACGTTAACAGTATCAGCAATACTCAATGGAGGTATGACCTTAACTGATGCAGCCTGTAAAGATATTTAGAGAAACTAAGCATAACGGGAGATTTCAAGAATCTTTAGCTTTAAATGCTCAAGAGTAAGGAAATTCAAGATTCATTCAGATTTCTAAGATTTAAAGATATCTGTGCATATTTCGAACACTCATTAACAGTATCAATTTGAACAGTTTTTATCCTTTACATGCACAAATCATACTTGTAATGCTTTTTCCTTTGCAAATCTGTGAGTAAAACCATAGTCAAACTGATCTTGCACGTTATAAAACCAAGAGTGAATTGTTATGGCTGAGAATGTGGATTAATAATGGATATCTGTTAGAGTTGATGCTGTAAACAACATCCAAAGCAAAGCAATTGTTATTTAATTTGGTATCTATGTTGTATCAGTTTTATTTCATTTTTTGCTTAAAACTGACTTTAAAATATTTGTAAGTATCAGTAATTCATTATGAATTCTGCATGGCACATAAGATATAAATCAGTTCTTGCTACTTGTTATGGACTTGTCTTTGAGCATGATGTGGAAAAAAATATTCTTCTGACATTAATCCAGTTAGCTCCTTAAATTCAACTGACCAGAAACATAGACCCTGTTCAGTCGTAACAGCTGTCTCAGGGAAAACCTGAGACCCATTTATTCTCTGACCACTACAAAGACATCATTAGTGACATCATTGTTTTGCTTTTCTACTGTTTATCTAGCAGTGCACCACAGATGGCTTACAGATTTCGAATATTGTTTTTAATAATGGTATCACTAATACTTATGCCATGGCCATCTGTATATTAAATCATATGCTTCAGAATGTAAAGTGTAAATATACAAAACAAGAGGGAAGTAAGCCTGAAAAATGGAACTGTTTCTTTTAGTCATTATGACCAGCTGGCTGCTGCTCTGTCAGAGTAAAGGCTGAAGGCTAAGAAAGTAAACCCCACAATAAAGCCAAAATGTTAAATGCATCAAAACATAATCCTCTTTTACTCTGCAATCCATCTGCTCCCGTTCATCACCCAATTTTATTGTCACCTGGCTATTTTACCTTTGCATCACTAACATTCCTGTCAGATGCAGTCCACATTTTTCCTGCATCCATTGCCCTTGATATTTTTCAAGTGTTGTGCCTTGATTTCCAAAGACTTTATTTTTCAGTCAAAATGATTGCCGCTATTGATGCATGTCAGGGAAGATTCTGTTTTTGGAATACCAAGAGAGGTGAGGGTTTCAAAGAGATTAGTAAGTAGCAGCATTCTGATCCATATTATTAAACTAGTGGATTTAATTTTGGAAGACCTATTGAAATTATGAGTAAACTAGACCATCTGGATAGTATCTGAATTACTCAAAACTTGGAAGGGAAGAAAGTGGAGCTACATATAGGAACTGAATGACCTGGAATTGGCAGTGAACCGTATCAGCTGTAAATCAAAGCAGCTGTCTGTCAGAACTAGTGTATGGAGCCTACACAGACTGTCACAAAGCCATTTGAAAAATGGCATTGTTTGGAGAATATCCGCCTTCTTTTCCAAGACCGAGTCCTCCGAGTTGCAAATCCTTAATGCCTTCACAGATTTAAATAGCAGCAGAGCTCTGGCAGTCTCTGATTCTATCTGCCTCCACAGACAATGCTTGTTCTTTGGGTTCTTGTTTAACTTGGCCCACACAAATGGTACCCTCTGGACTTTCTTCAACTTTAAAAGCAAAACATAAAACAAAACATTATGGTCAAGACTTGATCTATAACACTTAGCTCTTAAGAACTGTTTACAAATTACAAGCAAAATATGACTGTAGTTTGGGAAAGCATGGTGATTTATGCCAGCACATGGGGCACTGAAGATATCAGCATTCCAGTAATTTAACAAAACCATAATACATGCTTTGTTAAAAGATGAAGCAAACAGAATTTAATTTGTTCAAATCAAAATTCTGAACAAAAATCTGAAATAGCTTTACACATGAAAAGGAACAAATGAACTGGAATCTATAAAGTTACTTTCTCTAAGGAGCTCTTTTTTCATCAACATGAAGAGTTCCTTCTTTATGTATTAATCTGAGGTGTGTCTGATAAATATAGTTTGCCAAATTCAGCTGCGATGTAAGTATTATTATACTGAAGATGCTGGAGTTGTATGCAAGTACACCAAGACTGAATTTGGTATGCCCACTTAAATACACAAACCTGTCATCTTAAATAAGTACTTTTTGGGAAGAGAGTGTCTGTCAATGAATAATTGTGGGCATGAAAGAGACAGATTACAATAGAAAAGTTGTTTTCAATAATAGTATAGAATTTCTTCCCGAGCACAGAGAAATGATCTTACTGAACATGTTACACATTTTCATCAAGATATTCTATTATTTAACTATCAGTTAAATTAGAGAGAAGCTGGATTGTAAGGGATGACTTTTAACTGACTTGTCCTGATGTGTGTCTCAGAATCTACAAAGTGCAGCACTGAAAAGTTCTTCTAAATTCTAAATTTGGGCCTGCCTGCCTGATAGCATTGGACTTACTGGGGGGGGAAATTCCAGCTTTAGCTGTACATTATCTCCTCACCTGTCACTTTCCAGGAATCTCCAATGCAATTATGTGGCCTCTTATAATGACAAAATATGTGGTATTTAGAAACATCTGTGAATTAAATTGTGTTTCAGAATTCAGGTAATTAATGAGAGGCACTGATGTTCTGAAAGGAATCTTGAACACTTTCCAGAACAAGAAGGATGGTAACTATGAAGTGATGGAGGATGTACAGCCCAAATAAATGAGTTATCATCAAGAAATGTGCACTGACCTCCAGAAAAATATAAAAAAGAGCTTAGTTAAATTTTCCTCATATCTATAATTTTATTCCTGTGTTCTTTTTTCTGTTATGTATAAAATATTTCTTTAAAATTCACTCAGCTTTCCACCAATATTTTGGAGAGACAGCACCATCTAGCTTGAAAGGACAGACAGAAAGACTGATGGACTAGAGAAGAGGAAATATTTTTGATGACCTCTCTGGAATCCTTATACCAACAATAAAAACTGAATTTTTAAGAACAGTAATTAAGGTCAATTATAAGAATTTAAAATAGCTTTAAAATACCATTCCAGTGCAATAGACTGCAAAATCCAGGACAATTTTAGATAATTTAAACATTTGAGAATTTGATTGACTTAGATCAGAAATAAATGATACAATCAGTAAATGCTTCCATTGTTAGCTATATATATTCCTGCTCAACTAGTCAGAACTTACATTTCTGAATTCTGACTCTGAAAAAAATAGGGCTCCTTACAGTTATTTTTTGGCTGCCTGCACACTCAGGAAGAACAAAATTGCTTAGATCTACATCTAGTCCACATTCAGAGGGTTTATTTCATAATAATTGGAGTTCAGAACTTTTTTTTTTAAATTAAAGCCTATATTTTGTAATAATTTAATCTGTAGATGAATTCTACACCAAATTCCATGGCAGAGGTTTTGCAAAATACAACTCCTTGATAAAAAGGACTTTCAGATACTCTCTAGTCTATGAAAGGAGAAAAATTTGTTTGGCTTTACTGTGATTTTTTTTAATGTATTTTCTTAAAAAAAAAAAACCCCAAAAATGTTTTAAACCCCAAGAAATTATATAATCAAAAAAGTTGTAACTACCTGTGCACTCCAACTGAACAAACTGAAAGTGAGACCTCCCAAAAGACAGTCTGAGTAAGTCTTTGATACTAGGGTGGTTTTTGTTTTGAAGAATTTAAATACATTAATAACAAACAATCCGCAGCTCCCTAACAAAATTTCCTTGTTGTAACTGTTAGTTAATCAAAACATACATGGCTTTTGTTAATCAAAAATATCTTATTTACCACAAAAATCTGGTTTTAGTATAAGAATTGTGTTTAGCATAAAGCATTTTTCAGTAAATGAAAATATACTGATAAAGTCTGAGTAAAAAGTCATGAAAAATGCCAGAAATTGAAAAAAATCAATAGTTTGACAAAAAAATTAATAAAAAAGACCATTTTCAGAAAGAAAAAAAGTTTCAAAAATTTCAATTAGCTGCTTTAGAAACTAAGTGGTATCCACTCATTCGGATATTTTAAGGAGTATTCTAGAGATGACAAATCCCCAAGCCGCCTCATAACACACGTGGCTAAGAAAATTCATTCTCAATTTGTGCATTTAAATATCACAAGCAGATTTAAACTTACTAAGATCTGGATGATTGTCTACAATCCGTATTGGAATGGTCTGGACGTCTCCCAAAAGAAACTGATGGATCCCTCCCTCCAGGCTTCCTGTATCCTCTACACCTCCAACAGTTACCAACTGCCCCATAGTGACCAGATTTTGATCAGATATAGGCAGATTTCCAAGAGCGGAGGCAGTACTGTTGCTCTGGGTTAGACTGGAACCTGAATGAAGGTTGTGTCCCTGACTCAGTACTAGAGAGTGGTTGGTTATCACACTCCCTAAGGAATCCAGAATGCTGGCAGGGTTGGGAGGAGAATGGTTATTTACTGCTATCAGGGCTGTTGCTCCATCCATGGAGGTGAACGTTGGTTGTAGCTGTAATCCCTGTGACAAAGACAACAGTAAATCAGTATCACCGTGTTTCTATATCAATCAATACAATAGTGTGCAGTGTGTCTCTTCCCTCAGGGCTCTGAATTGGGGGGCTGTAGGGAA